ATACCCAGCTATCCCACTCATGGGAATTTACCCAAACAAACTGAAATCATCATCTGAAAGAGTTATCTGTGCCTGCATGTTTTTTGTAGCTCCATTCACAATAGCTAAGATATGGACTCAACCCAGATCTCCATCAACTGAATACAGGATAAAGAAAATGTTGAATATATACACTATGGAATACTAATCAGCTAGAAAAAAGAATGCAACAAGATGGATGCAACTGGAGACCGTTATGCTTTGTTAAATAAACCAATCCCAAAAAGACGAATATATATTTTCTCTGAAATTGGCAGTTAATACAGAATATAAAAAAATGTAGAACATGAAGTAGATATCTTGTGATATGATTGTTGTTTTTAGCCCTGTTTATATTCCTGTGGAACTGTGGTCTTCCTACTTTTTACTTGTTGAATATCATGGTTAGAGGTACATTAAGCCTGTGATTACAGTGAGGACTGAAAGCATGTCCTTGCAAAAATCAAAGAAAAAAAAGGAAGGAAAGAAGGAGGGAGATCACAGGATAGAGAAGAGAAAGGAGGAAAGTATGGTTAGCTTCTTAGAACTGTACCTATGTAGGCCAGCGCCATGGCTCACTTGGTTAATCCACTGCCTGCGGTGCCAGCATCCCATATGGGCACTGGGTTCTAGTCCTGGTTGCTCCTCTTCCAGTCCAGCTCTCTGCTGTGTCCTGGGAGCAGATGGGCGCAGCACCATCTGTAGTGGCCATTTGGGGAGTGAACCAATGGAAGGAAGAACTTACTTTCTCTCTCTCTCTCTCTCTCTCTCTCTCTGTCTATAACTCTACCTGTCAAATAAAAATAAATAAATAATAAAATAAGAATTGTACCTATGAAATACATGAAATCTGTTCTCTTTATATCACTGAAAATGTAAAAACCCAACAAAAACAAAGATGTATCTTTCTGTCCTTCTTCTCTCCTTTTCACTCTTTCAAGGAAAGAAAAAAAATATTTTAAAACAAAAAGAAGGGTAGGTATAAGCCTCCCCTGTTTCTACTTTCCCTCCTCAGCAGCCAGAGAGATTTCTCAAAAATGCCCATCAGATGTTAATTTCTTTCCTATCACCAGTAACTTCCTGTTGTACTTGGAATGGAATCAAGTCTCCTCTCCATACCCTACAAAAATTCTATGTAGCTGTTTCCGGTTGCAGCCACCTTTCCCCCTTTTCCCCAACTATTAGCTGTGTGTCCGACCTCAGGCTTTTTGCACTGGTTGTTTTTCCTCCTGATCTTCTCATGCGCGGCTCCTCTTCATCGTTAGAACTCTGCTCAAATGTCACCTCTCCAGAGTAACCTTCTCCAAACAGGCCATCAAATGTTCACCCCATGTCTGTACCACCAGCCATTCTCTGCAAGACTACCTTTCACTTTGTAAACAAAAATCTTACCTTGTTCCCCTTGAAGCACTTGCCACTCTCTGGAAGTGAGACATCATCAATCTTATTTCAACTGGCCTTGGCACAGAGTTGGTCCTCAAAGATTTTTGGAATCAATGAATTCCAGGCCCATGTGAAGGTCTGAGGTGAGGTGTGGTCTCATCTGGGATGCGACCACAAGGTTCAAGCTAGCACAAGCCACATCAGGTCATGGAGGACTTAGACACACAGAATGTCCTGGATTGTGGCACCTGCTGAGTTTGAGCCTGATGCAAAGAGCAAAAATAATTGATTGCTTCCTCTGTGACTGCTATTTCTCAGCCTTGCATTTCCAGAAATCTTCTTCTCGAAAATTATTATATTATCTACAATAAAAAGTCAAGGCTATACAATAATTTCAGGTAAGCAGGTTTTGTTCTCACGTGGTAATCCCAGCTAGGCTAGTGGAAAGCCTCAGGGCATCCCTTTAATGAATAGCTACACTTGGTGTTTAAATGGCATATCATCCTTGGCCTGTAAGAGTTGGTTCTTGAAAGCAGTTGCCTGTAGTAGCCTCACACGCTTGCTCAGAGGTTGAATGTTCACTGATCATCTGCTTCATGTTCAATACTCTGATTATCCCGAGTAAGCTCCAAAGTTGGAGTTCAGTTAAACTAATGTTTAGGACCCACCTAAGCTATTCAAAACCCTGATTCTATAGGGATTGGATTGAGAAGGGTCAGCTACAAGTGGCAAGAAGGAATCCACAGGCATCACTCTGAGAACCCATTGCCAATCTTATTCTCATTCATTCTCCCTCCCTCCATCCCTCCCTCTCTCCTTCTCTCTCTCTCTCTCTCTCTCTCTGATTTGCATATTGCTGCTCCCCAAGCCCAAATTCATGGTAGTACAAGCATCGCACCCCTCCCCCAGATCCACCCACACCCATGCTTGTTATGAGTGGTTAGTGGGTATTGGATTGGCACCACTCTTATCTGGCTAGGAAGGAATAAAAGCAATAACTGCAGGAATTGTAATTACCTCTGACAGGCCTGGGAGGCGGTGGAAGGGAACCATGCTCTTTCACAGTCAAGTCCTGCTGTCAGTGCATTGATGGCTCCAGGCCCCAGGTTATTACTGTCCCTCCTTTTGTGATGCTCAAATTGGGTTCTAACAGGTGGCAGTAAGATGCCTGGCCACCGTCAAGCTCTCTCTTGACATCTCTGGTGCTCCTGGAGGTTGCATGGGCCAGGAAATTTCTTGGTGTCTCCTCACCTGACACACACACACATGCACACACACACACTACACACACGCTACACACTGCAAAGTCATGTGGTGCTCATGTCTGCCGTTACACCCTCCCCACCTGTGTCCTGTCCTCCTGGAGCAACTTATTCATCACGGGGAAAGATGTGGAGTGAGTGAGGACATCCCGGGTCCTGGTTCTTTCCCATGGCCACACTTCTCCACCTGCAGAGTGCTTGTTGTCATGGGGACTGGGAAGGAGTGCAAAGGAAGGGGGACGAATAGCAGAGTTGCTGTTGTCTGACACCTGTCTCCACCGGCAAAACTCACAAGTGAAAAAGCAATCAGCAATTGGACTCTCATGAGCAACCATCACCTGTGGTTCCTCCTGGAGACTCTCCCCTGGCTCAGAAGATTCCAGAAAGTCCCAGCCTCAGGTGCCATCATCTCCATGGGCAGGGATGGGCGGCTGCTGATGATTGATTATTTCCACCATTTCCCAACTCCCACTGCCCTCTAGTGCAGAGTTTCCAACACACACCAGTAGTTCCCACTCCAAGTCAATTAAGTCAGAATCAGCAGACAGGCATTGGTGGTCTTTGAAAGGGCCTGGGGGGTCTGGAGCCATGGTGAAGTTGCAAGAGTTCAAGGAAAAGTATCTTTTTGACCATTGCGTTTCTCAACTTCGAAAACTTCACCTCCTTTTCTAATGTAATACAGGGTATTGGTAATAATAAATACTCCTACACTTTCAGAGTCCCAAGTCAGTTTTGCATGCACTCATTAAGTTCTCAGATCAGCCTGTGGAAAACGCTAACGTCATCACTGAAAAATAGACAATGTGCTTGCCGTGTTATCATTTATGGAGCAAAATAATGGAAACACGACTTGAGAGCCAGTGAAGGAATGGTTAGATAAGTGATGGGGCATTTATGCCATGGAGAATTCTACAGCTACCAGGATAATCTAAGGAGGGTTACACACATTGACTTAAAAAGGTAGTCAAACTGTTCCTATATTTTTAAAAATAATAATCATTCTTATAAATCACTCCATTTTATTGTTTTTAACGTGTGTGTGTGTGTGTGTGTGATTTATAAGCACAAAACATATCTAGAAAGATAAACAAGTATAAGATTCATCAAGTGCTGGCATGGTGGCGTAGCAGATAAAGCCACCACCTGAAGTGCTGACATCCCATATGGGTGCCGATTCAAGTCCCAGCTGCTCCACTTCCCATCTAGCTCTCTGCTATGGCCTGGGAAAGCAGTAGAAGATGGCTCAAGCCCTTGGGCCCCTGAATGGGAGACCCCAAAGAAGCTCCTGGCTCTTGGCTTTGGATTGGAGTAGCTCCAGTCATTGTGGCCATTTGGGGAGTGAACCAACAGATTGAAGACCTCTCTCACTCTCTCTGCCGCTGCCTCTCTGTAACTCTGCCTTTCAAATAAATAAGTAAATCTCTTTAAAAAAAAAAAAAAGATGTCATCAATCAGCTGAATTAAGGCAGAGATGAGACATCACTTTATATATTTTTAAATTGTTTAAAATTTATGCTTCCACACTTTTTTTAAAAAATCTATTTTAAAGCTATAGTCAAGGAGAGATTTTAGTCTGCCCATTTTTCAGAGGAAGCCATTGCATTTCAGTGATGTGGGATAACTTGATCATGTGGCTATAAATCAGTGGAATTTGAAGAGATATGTCTTAAGGAACAGAGGGAACACCTGGTTCACTGGAGGCTGAATCCAGGACTCCTTCAGCTCTGCACATGACTGCTGCTTGTCCTTGCTGAGGAGGGTGGAGGTGAAATCCTCACAGCCAGGTGACCTGGCAGGCTGGCACATGGGGAGCCTGAGCCATCAGCATTCTGCCCACCAGAACCACCACTTCCTGCAGACTGGACAGTCGCCTCTCAGAGTCACTGGGCTGACTCAGGACCTAACGGCTCCCTGCTTGCTTGAAGGCTGCCAGGAAGATTTACTCACCGCCAGTGCCAGCTGCTGGGACAGCAGGGTGAGCACGGCCACCCCTTCAGGGCAGTTCCTTTCCTAATAAGAAACATTCACTTAACACACACTTTAGGAGATGCAGCCAGAGCCAGATGGGCACGGAGCTTATTAAAAACACGCTTATTAGAAGCACGCTTGTTACCACAAAACGTTTGCAGATATGTAAGGGTATTTGTGTAAGGGTGTGCACGTGCATTTCACACACACATACACACGCCCCTCTGAAGTCCCTTCCATCCGAAGATTGTCTTTTCAATTGTTCTTCAATATCCTATTCTTTGCACTTGACCCTCCTACAAGGGCATATGCTCTGTCACATTTTCATGTTGGATTGTTGTTCTTATTCTTGTTTTTCTCTCCCACCAGGTGCAGCTCATCCACTATAACCATGAGTTATATACAAATGTCACAGAAGCTGCAAAGAGTCCAAATGGATTGGTGGTAGTTTCTATATTTATAAAAGTAAGTCTCTTCATCATCATCATCATCTTGCCATTCCTATTCCAATCAGAATATCAGTTTACCATCTCTCTTTGAATTAGAAGTATCAAAAGGGGTGATGTCCTTGGATATCCATGCCAAGAAAAGCTGCCTGGTGGTGGCTGTTACATTCATGAGACTTGTGACGATTGAGGTCCCCTGCAGAGAGTTCCAACGGGCTACATGTCACAGCATGAGAGTCTGAGAGTTCAGGCAGCTTCTGTCCCCCAGAGAAAAAGGTGCTGGATGCAGGGATACACTTCAGGTCCTTCCTAATGCAGGAGAATCAGAGGATGTAATAGTGCGGTGGGGGTAGCACTGCAGTCCCACAGGATTCAAAGGCCGTCTGTCAGGCAGCAAGGGAAATGCAAGACTTTCCTTCCTCTCCAGCCCTGCTCTAACCGTCTCCTCGCTGGGGACTGGGGGTGTTTGAAGCAGCAGTAAGGTGCACCTTGGAATGTCCAGTTCCCTTATCCGAGTGCCTGTGTTCAAGTTGTGCCTGTGCTCTCAATTCTAGCTTCCTGCTAATGTGCACTCCAGGAAGGAGCAGGTGGTAGCTGAGGTGGCTGGACCACCCCCAAGGGAAACCTGAATTAAAGACCAGGCTACTGACCTTGGCCTTGTCCAGCCCAGACTGCTGTGGGCATTTGAAGAGTGAATCAGCAGCTGGAAGTATCCGCTCTCTCTCCTTCTTCCCCTTCCCCTCCCCCTTTCTGACTCTAAAACAAACATCTCCTCCTAGCTTCTCCACCAGTGCTCTGAGGGTCATTTTCCTCTTACTCTCGTGCCCCCTCCTAAGCATTGTGGGGTAAAAGGCAAAGTTCACCCACTCACACACTGACTTTATGACACCCTAGGGAAGTGCCACTTCTCTGTAACTGTCAACACCAGCAACAAATCTCCACCCAAGAAAATTCTGATATTTAGAATTTTAGCAGATGCAAAATGAAGAAGAAATACAAATTTTTTCAATTAAAAAATTACTTTCTGTTTGGAAATATATATAAAAGTAACATGTCGCAAAAGTTGTCAGTCACTGTGTTAGCCCCTGCAGGAATTCTCACCAGGTCATTGGAGAAAGCGGCCAGAATAGAACTTGGGATCTGATGAAGATGGCCAGTAGAAACACAGCATTCAGCACAAGGGGTTTAACAGAGCTCTCATTATTCAGAAGGGGCGTTGGAGTCCCCAGGTGGCACTGCTCCCCCATCTCACCCTTGCTGAAAGCATCGCCCCGTGCAGCAGGCACTTCACCCTGCCTGGTCATCCTCTCCAGACCCACACCTCCTCCTAGCTTCCTCACTCACCGGGGTCAGGGCAGGGCAGTTACGGTGTTAGACAGGTGCATCTAGAAGATATTACCACCTTTCACAAAGGGAGGAAGAGGCATCTGCCCAGGGAAGGAAATTAGTCCTATCCCAAATGCTGCCAGCCCCCCCCCCACTCCATGTTATCTTGAAATAATAAACAGTATTTTATTATTAATACTAAATATTAATACTAAATAGAATAAATAGTATTTTATTATTAATCCAGAATTCCAGGCACCATTAAGTGATAAAATAGATGCAAGCTGCATATAATCAACCCTAATAATAACCTAAGGGTTGGGTGTTAGCATCCTTATCTTACAGATGAGGAAAATGGTTTAGAAAATCTTTGGAATTCTCCCCAGGTTCATGGGGCTCTTACTAGGCCAGCCAGGAGAGGAATCCAGGTCTTGGCCTTACCTGAATACTGAATACTTTTTATCTTATTCCCACTCTGTGCCTCCCTGACATAGCTAGGAGAAAGCCACTGAGAGCAAAGAGAGAAAACAGCATAGACACCCCCGGCCACTCACAAGCACAGGGACAACCCCTGAATTTTTTGCCCAGCCCCAAATAGGACACTGATAATCAACTATAGCTTTCATCCTGGGCCATGTTCATTGTCATGAAGCCTGTTGTAAAAGTTCATAGAAAAATGAAATTAAAAAGTTCATTTTGTTACAAAGAAATTGAAATCCATGCAGTGTGTCCACAGTACCTGTGGTCCCATGATTTTTTTTAAAAGCATCCTGTACATCCCAGCGTTGTCATGTGTGTCCAAGAGCATACTCCTCACCATTCTCCCGGCAGCTTTCCCAGCGCCCACTCTCCCATGAGTAACACCCACAGGCCAACCTGCTTGCCTCACCAACTTCTGTCCTTGGGGAGGGGTCTGCCTTTGCCTCACGGTGGTTAAAGCTCCTGAGTCAGGGACTGTCACCTTCACAGCATGGGCACATTACAACTACGGAGTGATTGATGCGCTGGGAAACCACTCTCTCAATACTGAATCACTGGCGTGTTTCACGAGCATTCGCAGAAACACACACTACACCAAGAGCACAACCGTCGGAGCCTGCAGGTCCAGGCTGTTTCCCTGTCGACTGTTGGAAGGAACTTATGCCCCAGCCCTGAAGTCAGGGAAGGGAAGGAGATGGGTTCCATCATCTTCCCAGGCTGGTAAGGCCCCTAGAGGTGCTCCTGTTCCTTCCCTGAGCAAACCTGAAGCTTTCTGAATACATTGCAAAATAAGCCATAGCATCAACGCCTCTGTTTCACATAACCTGCTCCAGAGAGCCGACTCTGTGGGGACTTCTCCGCCTGTAACTTGTCACTCACTAATCTCAATCACGGATTGGGCAGGGGATACAGAGGCCGGCTCTCTGCTAGGCACTGGTACCCAGAAGTAAGATGAGCACTTGGTCCCTAAGGGTGCACATCCTTCTCTCCTTGTGACCTGCTTCCCCATCACAGCTCCCTTCAGGGAAGGTAGGGACAGGAGATAAGAGCCCCACATTCAGGTAGTCTGGCCCTAGAGGTGTCATTCTGGCTAAAAACTGATTCATTGACAGGTCAAAGTTACTGGCTGAAATGAGAGCTTGTTCCTCTGTAGGTTTTATTTATCTCTGTCCTCCACCAGCCTCTCTCCCGCCCATGATCACAGAGAACTGAGATTTGACTGTAAATGCTGCTCAATCACGCACCATTAACTTCCCACTTAAGCTCACTTACACCAAGCACATATTTTATCCTCTCACCCACACAGCCAACACAGGAGAGCCCACACATCATCTGGGTGTAACTGGAAATTTTTTCAATTACTTTTAATCTGCTCAAAGGCTTTGCTGCCAACACGAGTGCTGCCTAGATTCACCAGGTACCAGGAGCCCAAGGCATGACAAGGTTCCTTGCCTGCCATGACAAAATGTTTTCAGTCCTTCTTCTTTCGAAAGGGTTCATCAGCTCAAACAGAAGGCTTCAGGCTACCTCTTAAACACTGAAGAGGTGTCAAAATAGTAGCTGAATTTGGCACCAACATCATCAGGCGGCAACAGTGTTCAATTTGGGACTTTTCTCCATTTGGGGGTGCGTTTTTGCCTCCCTTGAGCTTTGTTGCTCACCAAGCTTACACAACACACCCAGGAAACTGTGCAAAAAGAGAGACAGATGGAGGGAAAATAAACAGTATGCTTTCTCCAAACTAAAATTACCTGTTGCTTATCTAATAATAATAATCATCTGCTGCAATTTTTCCAACCCTCAGAATAAATCAGATTTAACAGGTTGATGTGTCACAACATCCGATTAGCAGCTGAGGCGTAAATTATAGAGCAGAGAGGAGCAGAGCATGGTAGGAGAGAAATGGTAGGGATGAACAGTGCCGCTCAGAACAGGCTGAATAAAAGGGAGATGTTAAGAAAACAGTGTACACAGTCACGTGCAGCCACATCACAGTCACACAAACGGTGGCTCCTGGGCTTAAGCTCCTTGAAGCTTGGCTTCTTTTCCCAAAGGGGGAATTTGGAGATATAACAGCATAGGCATAAAATGGAAAGGGATCTCTCAACATCTGGTACAATGTTTGTCCCATAACAGGCATCGGTAAGCATTTACTGGGTGGATGGATGGATGGGTGAGTGGGTGAGTATATGGCTGGATGGATAGGTGGATTGAAGACTGACCAAATGACATGGTTTGTGACATATTCAATTCTTGCAATAAGCAGTGATATAACTCAACTATATATTACTTTTTAGAAGTTTTTTCCATGTCCTGATACCTCTTTTCTGAGTTGGTCCTCCCTCCCTCCCTCCCTTCTCCTCCCCCTCCTCCTCTTCCTCCTTCTTTCTCTCTCCTGCCTTAGATAAATATCCATTCTCTAACATGTCATTCCCTACCCCCTGCTTAAAACTCTTTGATGGTTATCCAATCCGACAGAATAAAGGTTCAACAACATAACATGACACTCAAAGCTGACTATGAACTAGCCTCTAACTACCCCTCTAGCCCCACCTACCATCCTCCCCTATACCCTCAGCCCCAACTACACTGAAATGCTTGCATGAATATGTGTAGTTCTCACTGCCCCATATTTGTCCACATACAGATCCTCTGTATGAATGTTTTTTCTTGCCTTGCCTCCCTTTCCACACTCTACCCCCAAAATACTTCGTTCATGGCACTTTCACCCATTGATCCAGACTCAGCTCATGTCTTGTATCCCCAGGTTCATCGGGTGCTGGGTGGTCTCCCTCCAATATCCTGACCCCTGTGACTCTGTCATAGCCCTTTTCACACCACATTAGAACCATTTGTTGACTTTTCCTTCTTGAGACTCAGTTTTCCTATACAGTAGGGTCTATGTCTGATCCCTGAATATCCAGTTATCATAGTGTTGGCCATGGTAGGCACCCAGGAAATACAAATGAATGAGTGAATGCATGAAGGTGATGTTTATCTGGGAGATTGCTTCCTAGTAATTAATATTTTCCTTTCTCCCCTAGGTTTCTGATTCATCAAATCCATTTCTTAATCGAATGCTCAACAGAGATACTATCACAAGAATAACATATAAAAGTAAGTTTGCTTCAGTTTCCTCCACTACAACTATTCTACAAAGGTTAGTTCCTTCGGAAGGCAAGAAGCCAGAACTGATGATCTCTGCGGGCCCCTTTGGCTTTGTAATCCTTTAATTCTGCAGAAAGTCTGTCTGGAGAGACAGGGTTGGCTAAAAAGCAGTTCATTTCAAACAGAGGTCCCCAGGGCGCCTTTGTCATCCATGCCTGCCTAAGGCGATGATGATGGTCATTGTTAGTGCATGGATTGCTAATGAGCTGGGGGCCTCTGCCAGCTGACAAACTCCACCACATTAGCTGTCCACAGCTGGGGCTTTTCTGATTATGTGATTGAAAATGTACCCACTATGGCCAGCACCACGGCTCACTAGGCTAATGCTCTGCCTTGCGGCGCCGGCACACCGGGTTCTAGTCCCGGTCGGGGCGCCGGATTCTGTCCTGGTTGCCCCTCTTCCAGGCCAGCTCTCTGCTGTGGCCAGGGATTGCAGTGGAGGATGCCCCAAGTCCTTGGGCCCTGCACCCCATGGGTGACCAAGATAAGTACCTGGCTCCTGCCATCGGATCAGCGCAGCACGCCGGCCGCAGCGGAAGGTGAACCAACAGCAAAGGAAGACCTTTCTCTCTGTCTCTCTCTCTCACTGTCCACTCTGCCTGTCAAAAAAAAAAAAATGTACCCACTAGGAACCTTGGATGCAATCTCAACCCTTATAGAGGCCCTCACCTGGACCAGGTCTCCTTCTCTGTGTGGCAGAGTCTCCCTCCCAGGTATAGGCACCATGGATGGCATCTTTCTTCACTCCCATGTGGGGCCCATGGATCTAGAGGACTCAGCCCAGATTCTTTGGGTTTCTGTTTCACCCCAGACTCCTTGTGCAGCACAGAGAACAATGCAAAAGTGAAAGGAGAAAACAGGGAGCCAGGGTCACCCACCACAATCCCAGAAGTGGCAAGATCTGTGAAAACTTGGGTGAGACAGCACACACTACGAACTGAAACAAATCAGTTTAAGAAAAAATAAATGTTTTTACCTAATTAGGTAGGAGTAAACAGGAAGCTGGGATTCAGGGTCTTTGTCCTTCAAGAAGCCAAAGTCACTTTGACTGAGTTTCCTCATCTATAAAGTGAAAACCTTGAGCTTGAGGTTTCTAAAGGCCTTCTAGGTCCAGGATTCTGAATCCAGCAATAGGCAATGCAAACACCCTGACACCCCGCATTCCTCCATCCCTCCGGCATGCCCTTCACCCAGCTAGGAGCTGAGCCATGCCTGTCGTGTCTCTGATGGTAATGTGGAAAAGACAGAGTGAATATTTACAGGTCTCACCTTAGACCGCTGGAGGCAGAGTATGGAAAGTGCTTCCCTCATCCATCTATTATTCATTCAACGAGCATTTCATGCATGCCTGCCCCCTGACAGGCACCAAGTGAGGCTTCTGGAATATAAAGATAGCCCAGACTCCAGCTCTACCCACAAGGTCGGTTCACTGCCAAGTCACTGCCCCAGGAAGAGGCTGGGGGGAGAGAGGGATGACAAAGGCTCTTGGAGAATCACCCCACCTAGATGGACATCGCCTAGAAGAATGAATTCAGTTTGTCTTCAAACACACTCCTTCCCTCTTCATTAGTATTCTTGCGATGTCTTCTCCAAGCACACACTTGGATTGCTCAGCTAAGGGAGATATTTCTGTCTTGCCTGTAAATAGAACATTTATAACCACCCATAAAGATGATTATTCTTTTAACTTTTTTGATTAAAAAAGCATGAAAATTAAATAAAATGTTTTCAAATAATCTTGAATTTGCGGTTTAGAGACCGTGAAAAGCCGTGAAATCACACATTAAACCCCAACACACAATCTGACAGATTGCCAATTGCAGAAGCAGTCCTTAATGGGACTTTCCTCCCCACCCCATCCCTGGCACTGGTCAGATTAATACTAAGTGATGGGGCTGCTGCCCCCAGGAGGAGGAGCAAGGGAGGAGAGGGGAGGGGAAGAGGAGATGGGGGAGGGACGGAGACAGCAAGGAACAGACAGACAGCATTCTAGGCAGAGGAAGCCACACACCCAAAGGCTTGAGAGCAGGAAAGGGGTGAGGAAGAGTCCAGAGGGAGGAAGCCTGTCTCATCAGCCGTTCCCATCAGTGACTAGTTCGAATGTACCCACGAGCACTGGGGATGGCCAGAGTTAAAGGAGGAATGAATGACCCCCTTCAGTATCGGTGACAGAGGCCGAGGGAGTGGTAGGAAGAATGTTCCAGGGCCAGAGCTCCACGCTGTGCTAGGGAGTGCACACAGAAGGCAGGCACCCTTGTGCCTCCAAAGCCACACTTAGAAATGCAAAGGAAGGGAGCAGAGCAGGAGCACCCTATTCTGTGTCCTGCATCCTCTAAGCCTGTCAGAGAACAGGAAAAGAAAGGGGAGTAAAGATAGAAGAGACCCAGGCCTGCATGGAGAGAGGGAACTGCTTCCAGCCCTCTAATAACAGGTATTTGGTGCTCTTACGCTCTGGCATAATAGAGGTGTTCCCATAGCGACCTTTATCACATACCTGAAGGTAGGCACACCATGGGGATAATGATGACCCCATACAAAGGAATGCTCAGACAGAGCTGTGCCCTGGATACTGTGACAGAAAGGGATTTATTGGCTCAGCAGGAACTCATAGCACTCTTCCTGCTGGCTAAATTCCCTAAGGCAGCCAGCCTGCAGGAGGTTGGCCCAGCCTAACAAGCAGGGGGCCCTGGGACAGGAGTCATTTACTAGGACACAGCCTTTGAGAGGGAAGCACAAGCCTGGAGTCTCTGCTGAGGCTCTGCAAGAGGCAGCAGGTTATGCCGCCGTCGGTCAGAGAATTCAAGTCCAGGTAAAGCCAATGCAGCCTGCTCCTGGGCATTTATCAGGGTAGCCTGAGTCCACACCTCTTAGTGGAATAAAAAGAAATCAACCCCCGACTGCCTCGTCAACCTCACTACCCAGGGACATATAACCTCCACCCCTCCCCACTCTCCCAACCAGCTCATTCCGGCACTGCTACCCGGAATTACACCCCAGCATAGCGTCAACCTGCCCTGCTCATTTAGATGCAGCACCCACTCTGCCATGTGTTGAGCATCAGGAATCTGGAAGTGACGCTCACTGAGCACTCTCCATACGCGAGGGTCAGTGCTGTGCACACAGCGCCTTACAGGTACTCACAGAGTCCTTCTGAATGAGGACCATTGCTAGCCCCATCAAAAAGCCTAAAGTTTACAGATGAGAAAAACCAAGACTCTAAGAAGTGAAGTCACCTGACCAAGAACACACATGGAGTGAGTGAGTGCCTAAGCCAGCAACTTGTGCATAATAAACAAGCATTCAGCAATGCTCTTTCTCACTGCTGTATCTGTGGGTCAGTTGGGCTGGCTCTGCCTCCTTCCTGCTGCAAGTCTGCAGGTCTCTCATGCAACTCAGCTCCATATAACTCATTTTTCCAGGATTAGGAGGATATCCAGGGTAAAGATTTATCATAGCAGGAGCCAGAAACACTTGATGTTACATAACACTTAATCTTGTAACTCACAACATTTCTTTTTTCTTTTTATTTGACAGGTAGAGTTATAGACAGTGAGAGAAAGAGAGACAGAGAGAAAGGTCTTCCTTCCATTGGTTCACTCCCCTAACGGCTGCTATGGCCGGCGCTGTGCTGATCCAAAGCCAAGAGCCAGGTGCTTCTTCCTGGTCTCCCATGCGGGTGCAGGGGCCCAAGCACTTGGGCCATCCTCCACTGCCCTCCTGGGCCACAGCAGAGACCTGGACTGGAAGAGGAGCAACCGGGACTAGAACCCGGCGCCCATATGGGATGCCGGCACCTCAGGCGGAGGATTAACCAAGTGAGCCGCTGCGCCAGCCCCAACCCCAACATTTCTATCTACTTTCCAGTAAACAAAGCAAGTGACATGGCCAAGTCTAGTGTTAAACTCCTCCCATGGAGATGGGTTGGGGAAGGAATGAAGTTTCCTAAAGTCCCTTCTTCCATAATAGAAGAGCAAGGATCCAAACATGGGTTCCCTCTGTGCTTTTCTCGGTATCTTTTCCTTCCTATTATGCTTCCTCTCTGTGGAGCAAAAGAAAAAAAAAACCTTAACTCTGAGATCTGAAAACTAGTTATAATGCTCATGCTTGCACATTACATGAACTTGCACATTACATGAAAACTTTTCTTGAAATTGCAACTTTGGTTCCATATGAAAAACTATCTCTTGGCTTTTTTGCATTTGCTTCCACTTGGAAGGGACACAAACTCACCACAGAACTTGTGGGCACTTAGCTCAAGCTCCTCTCAGCCTAAACACTTTGCAACTCCTGTCTTCCCCTTGTCATGGGACTTCCAGTGGAAATCAATGTCATGCAAAGGGACACAGTGGCACTGCCATTACTGCCATCCAGAGTAACTGGGGAAGGCACAGAGACTGGTTCTAAATGGGGTTAGTCTTCAAGTTTTCCCCTTGGAGGCCACTGTCGGGACAAATCAACCTAATACTTTGAACAGAGTGACAATATCTGCTGACAAAAGATTACCCTGGTTGTTGGTTGGGATTAGACTACACAGGGGTTAAGTGTGAACTTGGGAGAGGATTGCAGCAGTCCAAACGAGGAGGCAATGTCATTGATTATAACCATGCTAATGGGGACGGGAGGGTGAGAAATGGTTATGTTTTGAGGGAAAAGCTAGGAGGTTTCTTGACAGATGAGCTGTGTGTGTGATGAGAGAGAAAGTGAGGAGTTAAGGATGACTATAGGCTGACGCCACGGCTCACTAGGCTAATCCTCTGCCTGCAGCACCGGCACACCGGGTTCTAGTCCCGGTTGGGGTGCAGGATTCTGTCCCGGTTGCTCCTCTTCCAGGCCAGCTCTCTTCTGTGGCCCGGGAGTGCAGTGGAGGATGGCCCAGGTGCTTGGGCCCTGCACCCGCATGGGAGACCAGGAGGAAGCACCTGGCTCCTGGCTTCAGATCAGTGCAGTGC